GAATCTTGGGTAAGAATTTCATGACAGATTTATTAATGCAATCTGATTATAACGATGACCAAGAAGGTCAATTAATTAGAAAAAGAGACCCAAGGGATAAAATATTTGATACAATAAAGTGATCAAAGATGGTGAGAAGTATGATACAAACATGACTTACGTGGACTTCATCAAACAAATATTTGACCAAAGAGGTCATCTTACTAAAGAGACACACGGTGATTAATTATGTGATACTTGAAAAAGAGACCCAAGAAAATAAATTATTTAATTAATATTCGACCTCAGCACTAAAAAATATTTTTAGCCAAAAGGGACTAAATTGCGAAATCAGAGTAACAATTCCAGAGAAAGAGATTATTCGATGCTGTGGATTGCTATTCATGAACACATGTTTAGTAGACAAAGAGAAGTGTTCTTCACGCATACCCCACGTGACAAACACATCCAGATGGACATGGTGTCACCCAAATGTCATTCAAATACTCTGAGATGGCAGCAACAAAAGAGATAAGTGTTCTCAGCTAGGCCCACGTGGCTTCCATCATATGTATGAATGTCTTTGAGTTTTTTGAGCTGTTTTACATGTTTGCGTTGGGATTTAACACGATTTAAATTCATTAACAAACACACACAATCGAAGAATAAATTAAGAATATAAAACAATAAGAAACAAGAAAGAACAAGACACAGATTTTACGTGGTTCGGCAATTTGTCTACGTCCACAAAACTGCAGGGATTTCACTATTGAGAGAGTTGAATACAGAGAGCAGCTGTACAATTCACGATTAACTCTAATCACCAAAACAACAGGGTTTATATGTCCTACGCACTGGGCTGTACAACGGGCCCAAAAAAATTTTCAGAAAATTTTTCATTAAAAACCACACAACATTACTTTGGGTCGGGTCATCATCCGGATCACATATACAAACTAGATTCCATAAAAAAAAAACCAACAGTTTGAGCATACACTGAAGAATTAGTCTCTAAATATGGTTAGAAGGCTGGTCAATTAGCATATGGCTTGAGCCCCACGATGTAAGATGCTTTGTTGGGTCACGGGCAGACAATATCCATACTAAGTTGGATGATGAATTCGATATTCGAGACACAATTCGATAAAATTCTTCCTAAACGTCTTTTTCTTATACTTTTCAAAATCACGATATTATTTATTCACCAAACTTGCAAAATCATAGAAACAAGGAAGAATGCTCTTAAAATATTTATTACTTTATTGCCATTGGAATTCTATTGGTACTGAACTTGGCCACTGGGACACGTTTGCAAGGCCCGCCATACAATCGCAAGAATGATTTGTCATGTTCTGTTGAATAAAATACTATTTTAGGATGTCACTCTGTTGAAAACTTGATCGTAGGATTGCACTCCAATATTAGAAATTGTTTTAAGTTGTATACGAGAACACTTTCTTAAAAAATAATATTTATCTCCACTAGTTGTTTAAAAATGTATGCATTGAAAATTTTGCAAATATATTCTCAAGATACAATAAAACTTTTTAAACCTACCTACGTATTGCACTTATAAAGATAGTACTCAAATACCTTAGCCAACTTGTAGTATTCTAACTCTGTAAAAAATAAAATATTAGATTAAATATAAAAGAATAGATGTATGTCAATTTGAGAGATAGAGAGAGAATAATTATACAATTTTTTAATGGTATGGTATAGGAGTGCAAGCTATCACTTATTTATCGACTCACTAGTGACTTTGCATGAAGGATGCAATTATATATAATTGTGTCTTTTGATTCAAAAAGTATTAGTGATGATTTTATGAAAAGATACAACTATTTGAAATAATATCTTTTAGTCAAAGAGATATTAAATGTGACTTTATGAAAAGTTGTGACATTTGTACTGGTGTCTTTTAAGCAAAATGTATTAGTGGTGACTTTATAAAAAAGATGTAACCAATTGGATTGATGTCTTTAGCCAAAAGCCTCCAACTTTAAATTAGTAGTCTTTCATGTTATATTTACTTCATACATTTCCTTTCAAAAATAACCACCCAAAATTTTTTTTATTTTGAAAATACTTTAACATTCTCCCAGCATTTTCAAAATAATGCATAACGGCTAAATGGAAGATTAATGCATAGGTGATAGTATCTTACGATTTGAACAAATCACTTGGTGAAAATGTATCAAAGTTAATCGGGAAGGCATAATAAATATGTCTTTGAACTAGCTATCTAATTTGACTAGACGGATCCATATTCACACATATCATCAAATCATTTAGATATATAAGCCAACACATATAAATGGCCTTGTATCTATACCTTGATTTAATAAATGCTCGAGTCGACCCTGGTTTCATAGGAAGCGATCTCACTTCCACACTTATATAGTTAACCTTAGTTGAAATGTGCTTGTAATTACAAAGCTTTTATAAGCGATTATTAAGAGCTCAGTAGTTTAACCTCTTCCTTTAAATTTTATAGGTTCCAACCACTTATCCTTGAGATGGATGTTCATCATGTTATTTAAGTGCTTGCAATTATGATTTATGGTGTACTATAATCATTGAACTTGAGGACTTGATATTTCAAGCGTCAAGTCGAGTTTTCACCAAACGTGATCATTTCATATGGGCTTCAACCCTATCCCTTATGATATTTTTAACATTATATTCCTTGTAAGTCCTTTTGTAGAAGAGTCTGTCAAGTTTTGGGTAAGACATTACATAATCCACCGTTACTACTCCGTCTATGAGTCATTGTTTGACATAACTATGTCTTAGTTCAATATGTCTGTACTTTCCATTACGCAATTTCCTATACACTAGTGCTAGTGTTGATTCAATATCACAATGTATAAATATATAGAAATTAGTTTAGGCCAAACTGGAATTTCTAATATTAAGTTCCTCAATCACTTTGCCTTTACTACTTGCAACTAATGCCACAAATTTCGATATCATAGTAGGGTCCATTATACATGTTTCTTGGAGCCCCAAGAGACAACACCTCCACAAAGAGTGAGTACCCATCCACTTGTTGACGTATGATCTTCACGATTAGTTATCCAATTGGCATCAAAATATCCCTCTAGAGCAGTAGGATGTCTAGTATAGCATATACCATAATTCATAGTTCCTTTTAAATATTCTATATTAGTATATCTACTAAGTTTCCCAATAACAAATGCAATATCAGGTCTAGTGCATGTCATGACATACGTTAAACTACCAATAACTCCTGCATATTACAATTGTGATACTGCTCTACCATTATTTTGAAACAACCTTATATGTGATTCAAAAAATGTGCTTACAGTTGTGCAATCAAAATGATCAAACTTCTTAAATATCTTCTCAATGTATTGTGACTGAGAGAGTATCAGAATGTTATCTTATTTTATTATTCTAATTCCTAAGATAGCATTTGAAACACCCATATCTTTCATATCAAAATTAGAAAACAAGAAACTTTTAGTACAATTAATACTATACAAATTAATACAAGTATTAGCATGTTATTTACACATAAGCATATTATCACACCTCTTCCATTAACAAATCTACAATATACATACTTATTAGATACATGAATTTTAAAACTATTTGATACAACTATTTCATCAAATTTTTCATGACACCATTTAGGCGCTTGTTTAAAACCATATAGTGATTTAACTAACTTATAACTTTTTGTTATAGATCTTTCATCACGAAATCCTCAAGTTGTTCTCTGTATATTTCTTCATTTATCTCACCATTAAAAAATACGATATTTACATCCATTTGATGTAAGTTAAATCTATAAAATAAGGCTAAGACAATTAATACTCTTATTGTTGAAATTTGGGCTACTGGTGCATAAATATCAAAATAATCAACACCTCCCTTTTGTGCGAACTCTTTTGCCACTAATCTTGCCTTAAATTTCTCCATTGTACCATATATCTTCAATTTTCTTTTAAAGATCCACTTATACTTTGTGGGTTTTGAATCAGGGAATAAGTTAACTAGTTTCCAAGTTTTATTATTCATAATGGAATCCATCTCATCATTTTCTTCTAATTTTATCCTTTCCATCAACATACCAATTACATTTTTACCAATAATATTTGTTATTAAGACCCAAAACAATTTTTTTCTAATTAGTGCATAACACCCAAAACAAGTAATTAATAATAAAGACTTATAAAAACGATAAATTATACAACTTTATTTTTTCTTATATTTAATTTTTTAAGCATATAAATTTTACTTCATTTGACTATCAAATTTCAACCATAAAGACATACAATTACATGAATTAACAATGTAAAAACTAATCTATGACTGCAATCATTGAGAAAAGTTCATCTAATTATACTTTCTTACTTCTCCTTCCATATTTTGAAGAAAAGACCTATTGTTTTAAGGCATAAAAAATAAAAAAAAATAAAAAGAATTCAAGCATTCAAAGCTACAACATTGTATTTTAAAGATAACATAAACAATGACTTTTACGCTATATACGATCCACTCGCATATGAACTCTTACATGTTAATAGGCGAATATTTTGATAATTAAAGGTGTACCTTAGATTTTAATTTAAGAGTAAATAAATTATATTTTAATAAACATAATTGAATATAAATTTATAAACAAAATGAGATTTGTGTTTTCATGGGAAGGATAAAATTAGAACAAAACAAATCATTAAAGAAGTTTAATACTTCTTAGAAATAAATTATTAAAAATAGGACTTAATTGTCCTAAAATAAATATGGTAAACCTTAATGGTTCTTTTACAAGAAAAGTAAGACTTATTGGTATTTTTTCTTTTATTAGATTTTACCATATTCATTTCTACTACACCCTCTAAGAGTCCATCCTCCTCCAGTGAATTCCTTCAAATCTATTACTTTTATGATCTCATTGAAAATCATATAAATACAATTTCTGTTATATATATGACTATTTTCATTGTAAAAGCCGTACCTATTGCACAAGGTTTCTTGACAATATTCATTTCCATCCACAAAACATTGAGGACTCATTCTCATGCTTAATTTTCTGAAAAAGTCAAGCACATGATGTATTGGGTGATGGAAGTAACAATACACCATCCCTTGCTACATGTAGTCATCAGATACATTCGTCTGAATAGAAGCTTTCAGGTGTATCTCTTTTGTGCATCCTCATTTTACACGGGAGATCACACATACAAACACTATATATTTTCCAAAGAAAGAACAGGCGGAAAATAAACAAATGAATACAATCATTATTATGGTTCAGCTGCAAATAACCTTCAAGAAGCTTGACGGAAAGATAGACTACTCGGTGAATCAATCCGGATAATATGTTCATCCTCAGGGCCAGACTCATCACCCGAGTTATCTTCTATTGGACTTTCTTTCATGCTTGAACTTGGAAGTTGAGATGTAGGATTTCGTACTAAGCGTTGTTGTACTTCAAGGTTGTTTCGCACTGTAGTAGATCCTTCAGATCTAACAGATACAAGAGGTCGCCCATGATTCGATGGAACTGCTGGATACGACTGACTATAAGACAGCTTCAACTGATTACTTGGAAGACTTTGGGGACGGGATCTGGAGTTACGTATCTGATGAATCAAACAACGCAGAAAATAGGTCCAAATAAGCAAATCTTGAAAAACAGGTGCACTCCAGAAGAAATTAATAGGATGGAGCTTCTGACTGCTACTAATTTCTATTTTTTCTTTTTCATTTTTACCAGACGAAGACAAAAATAAAATTTAAATCTGTTCAGCAAAAAAGAAGGGGAGAACAAGAGGGGGAGGAAAAAAAATCCTTAGGGCTAATTTCAAACTGGATAAGTGCTATTCGTTTCTGGTATTGCCTAGAGGAGTGAGCTGCGCTGGCAATTGACCAAGAATAAACTAGTAAATTGACCCAGGGACACAGCAAAAAGTCTGGTGTATAGGGTGCAGTCAACACTCAATACATAATCACTATTTTTTTATCATAAAAAAAAAGATAGTTAATGTTTTACTTCCACATTTTTAGTATTCAAATCCTATAATTTGATCTACTTTAGGAATTAGTTTTAAGACGCAAGATTTTGGGAGGAAGTGAACAAGTTTAAGTATCTTCCAAAACGCTCATTAATAACAAAACAAATTCTTTACGAATAAAGGGAGAAGGATATTTAGAAGTCTATACAGAATTTTCGCTTAAGTGTGATAAAAAAAGTTGCATTACTTCAATTTTGAGAAAATTCATTCTTGCAGTTAATCCAGATAACCTTTAAAGAAAGAGAAATTGAACATACCATGCTGCCAAAGATGCTTAGCTGCATTGCCCGGGCAGATAAATTGTTTAATTTGTGATGAGTCTCTTCCGGATCATGAGGATGGTGCCTGGGCTCGAAAAACTGTGCAGGCCAACTCATAAGCCCACCGTGTTCTCTACTTAAAGATCTAGTTGGGTGATCAACTGATTGTGGTAGCAATGAAGATGACCTCCTCTGGAGGGCCCTGCTGGCTTCAAATTCCGCGATATCAAACATGATGACCCTTGCCCTAGTCTCAACTTGATACAAGAATGCATGATGGGAAAAACTGGCTGCCTTGGCACCTATTTGGAATCACAAATAAAATAAATTTAAGAGGACCCAGTTTATAACCAACAATAAATAAAATTAAACCTGCTTTCACTCAAAAGAAACATTCTTTGCTCAATTTTCATTTTCAGTTATATCACACTACATATTGAGGATGAGTCTTTGTTTTGTTGAGTGGAGTGGTATGTCAAGACATAAATAGTGATAATGCATGGCATGTTATACGTTATAGTCTTCCCATGTAAATGTCTTGCATGTATAGATGGACCTCGTCTCAGACATTGTGACTTCAGAAGTATCTTCTCCATGTCAAAAAATTTAACTGACGCATTTACACAAATGCATACTAAATATTATTTAAGTTGTTTGGACCATGAAAAGGGGTCACCTAGCTTGTTTACACATGATTCCTTGCGGCAATATATCGCTGACTCAATTTCCAACAAATAGTTGATATTCCATAAAATAGCTATTAGCTCTTGTCAAATGGAACGGTTTCTTGTAAAGAAAAAACGAATATGTAGTTTCAATAACACAATGAAAAATGAGGACAGAACTAGTGGCATGAGTGCCTTGTACTCATCAGGATGGAATGTTAATAAGGCATTAAATGAAGTCATGAAATGACTTGATACAAAGACAAGTTATCTGGTAGAGATAAAATGTTAACCATATGAAGCTTAACTATAATGAGAATTTCTAAATCCTTATAACTCACCATTCATTAAAGATTTTACAGACATGCCTTACAAATTATATCACTTTCATCTTTTATTTATTTTTTATAAAAGAGATGTGATTTAGGGTTGAATGACTGGGCAGGGTTTATCTGATTTAGGCCTTTGATTTTTGCCTGTTTTCTTTACCTCAATCCCTTTTTATTTGGTGAATTAATGAGTTAGTAAATCGATTAGCCAAATTTGCAAATTGATATAATGAGTCCGTGAATTTGGTATAATAAGAGTGCGGATTCAAGGTGAATTCGCTCCCAAAGCATGAATTCGCGCATGGAGTGACGGAGAGCGGGGTGCTTCATAAGGATTGTGACTCAGTACCAAACAACTGGAATCCACCCAGCTATATGTTTTCACCTACTCCACTCCTCAAGACATGCGTCGTTTGCATGGATCATCTCTTCCAATAACCAAGCAAACATATATGAACTGGTAGAAAGATGATCTTACAAAATAATACCCCCGTAATTGGGTGACATAATGGAATCTAATACCTGTTACAGCCTGTTACATCTTTGCAATAGCCATTACAGATGTAAAAAAATTTCTCGCTGTCAAATCGGCACATAACACTATCGATGGCTTACAGCCGATTATTGAAACTTATGCTTGTGGGAAAAAAAAAGAATTGTTAGCTTATCAGTGCCATTACCATTAATGGCCCACCTACCCCTTTGAAATCTATCCAAACTATTGTCCAATCTTATTTTGTACGTCACCCTTAATCTGATAGCATATTCCACCTGAACCCTATTACTCCCTTTCCCTGTGGCAGACATTGATCTTTGTCAACCGTGCCTAGACCACTATAACTCTCCCATCTTTTTCTCAATTGGTGCTACTGCTATCTTTATTTCTAACGCTGAATTTCTGAACAAGAAGTTATGCATGTGCACCGAGTGTTCCAAATATTCACAGATCTTAGATATCAATTTCTTGAGATGGTTTACTATATTTTGAAGTCTAAGGAACATGTCTAGAAGATCACTTCAGGTCACAAAACCAAAACAGAAAGCCAATAACAGCACGAAAAATTTAGTGCAAAAAATTATGGAATGGAGCTGTTTACGTGCGTAACTTCCATGCAGAGATCAAAATATTGCAGTCCTTTAAGCATAGTAGTGTACCATGGTCAGTGAAGACAATAACTCAGAGCAGGGCAACGTATCATTGGAGATACCTTTGAATGAAATGTTAAGCAAAATTTTGATTACCTAATGTTTCTGATGCCCGGAAGCTTTGATCTCCATATGAAGGTAACAGTGCTGCTGGAGATGTAATCAGTTCTTCTTGGACATCTTGGGTTTTTATGAATCCTTCTAATAAGAAACCAATGGAGTGGTGAGGTAGCTCAACAGTTTCTCCTCTTATATATATACTCATTGTTGACCGTTCTGCAACAAGAGCTCTCAAATCTTGCATTGCCATTTTCTCAAATATTTGAGGAAGCAAGAGTTTGGCAAGAATAATAACGCTTTCCTGCAGATAGAGTAATTTATGATCAAGTACTTCTATAAGATACAATTAGTGATGTATAAAATTTATAATTTATGCTACAGGCCCTACAGCACATTCAACCTACTCTTTAATATAGATGTAGTAGACATTCATTATTTATACTTTATACACCTATATTATGCCATCCACAGTCAGAAAAATTTTAAAGACTATCAAACAAAACTCATATCCAAGACAAGGTTGCTTATTTTAGTGATTCATTTTTCTGATAGGTAGTATAGGTTGAGAACTAAGTGCTTGAATACTCTATAACACCTTCACCTCACGTGTTTACAACTCGATGCACAACATATTTTAGGCAGCAAGCACAATTGAAGGTTTCAATAACATCATACCCGCCAAAAAAATTCTTCAACTGCAGGATCAGATCTGGCGACTGAAAGAATCTTTTCAGCTTCGACAAAGAAACAGAGAACCACAGAATCAGCGATCATGTCACACATGTAAGGCTTTCCAATCAACACTTCATATAGGCCCAAAGTGCTTGCATGTGCAAATGTTGGGTGCAACAGATGCTTATATCTTATACTCTTACTTGCCCACTGCCAAACATAAATCATTATTTGTGAGATGTTCACGTAAAAATTCTAAGTCAGACGTTTTGAGGTCAAAAACTAAATCTCTTAAGGTCACCCGTGTAAATTGGTTATTACCCTTACTACTCCAGCAGAAATAAGCCAAATGCCAGTTGGCTTGGATCCCTCTTTATAAAGCGTTGCATCTCGTAGTTTCATTATCTCCTTAGCAGAACCTATAATTGGCTCACTCAGTGTAGTAGGAAGCGCTCCCAACAAAGGGTTGACCCTGACCAAATCACGTATCTTTGGAATCTTTACTAAAGGAGGATTCCGTAATAGCCTTTTCAAGTCAGTCTGCATGCAAAAATGATATAATTATGACTCAGGGAAGAAATTTAGGAAGTTTTGGCCATAAGATAAGTGAGAAAAATAATATTTCACACTGATACCTGGACAGCATCTTCTAGATGATTCATCTCTTTTTCCTCCAACAACCCAACCTTCTCAAGATTATGGAGATAATCAATTAAATGATTCAGCACAGAATAGGTCACTTGCCTTGTTTTCACAACCCGCAAAACCTAGGTCCCCAATATGAAGTTTTTTCAGTACCACAATATGAAATATGCCAAAGATATGCACAAATGCACATCTAGAAGAAAACATGGGAAAGGGGCCACATTAGTACCACCATGTATGAGACTTCAAATGGAGCCTGACCAAGAGATCTCAAGTACAATCTCAGATAAGCAAGCAATACATATAGTAAATGAGGGTATTTACAACCCACTAACCTGTGGAAATGTAACACGAACTTCTTCCAGGAACTTCCTTGCTTCCTCTCCTTCTGCCTCACTTTCATTAATTACAATAGATGCAATCTCACTGTCACCTGCAGTGATAAATGTATGCACAATAGATGAGAAGGATTCAGATAAATAATAGGTTTTACGGTTTAGGGTTTAGAATATGGATTACCCCCAGTGTAGTTTGGTTCAGTCCAAAATTACCTACATAAATTTTTGGAAATGTAAGCGCACTCCCGTGATCCCGGACTAAATTGGAACCATTAGAAAATGATTGATTTACCTCGCATCCAAAATTCCAAATAACCTTATTCTTTATTTGGCCAAAGTTAGTCATTATTCGTTAACTAAATAAAACTATAACTATAACCAAACGACCTCATCTTCTTCCTCTTTGACCTCTTCTCTCTCACATTCGTCCACACACTCATGCACAATGCACACACAACACACCCACCCACCACTCTCTCTGTCCTCTATATGTTGATCCAACCAAAAACCTAACTTATCCATCCAATGCAATTCAATTTGAATCAAAACCTCATCAAGGTTGACATGTCTCTCTCAACCAACAGCTTGAGGTTTCTCAAGGGGGTATATTTCTCAAAGGGGTACTGCTTCAACTTATACACATCTTCATGGTGATGCACTTGCCATTGAGTTGTGTTATGCGGCGAACTTGATTAGTGTTGGAGTTGTAGTCTAGTTTATTAGAGTTTTTTTCCTTTTTACCCTTACTATGACTTTCGCTTCTTGCCTAGACTAGAGGGATGTTCAAGTTATTTTATACTATTGTTTGGCTATATATACGGGACTCTACACTTAGTTTGTATCTCTTTTAACTAACAAATATATCAAGTTGGTATCAGAGCGAAAACCCTAGCCTCTTGCCCACCCCTAGCTGCCAACCCTAACCCTAACCCTAGCCCCTCCTCCACACTCCACCAGCAACCAGACTGCCACTACACCATGACTGCCCCAGATCAGCGACAGCCAACTTGAGCAACCACTGCCCATCCTCACCCAACCAACCCATCGATAACCACTGCCCAGCCCACCAACAGCCTCAAACAAACCACCACTGACAGCCACAAACACACCGAAAAAACCCTAATAAACTAGACTACAACTCCAACAATTAGTTCACAACCTCTCCCACTAGGTGGAGGCATTTAACTTTATGCATCCTTTACTTTTATTGTATTTTTGTTTGATGAGCGCATTCAAATATTAACACTCTAAAGAATTGGTATGCATTCAGTTTGTTAACCAGCAGGGTTTGTTTTATTCTGGTCAAGGAGCAAGGTGTTGCCTATGGTGCAGGTTATGTAAAGTTAGTGTATATAGTACATGTTAAGTTGAGAGAATTAACACAATATTAGAGAGAAACAGAGAGTGGTCAAAACTTAACCTACTTCTCACAAACCACTTGTATTTATTGTTAACCAATAATAATACAAAAGACGTATATACTCTATAATATTTACACTTAATACCCTAATATTCTTAACACTTCCCCTCGAATTGGACTATATATATCATATAATCCAAGCTTAGAACAAATTGCTATAAGACGTGTACGATTCAATATTTTGGTAAACATATCTGCAAGCTAATCTTCAGATTTCACAAATGGAGTCGTAATCTCTCCAGCTACTATCTTGTCTCGAATAAAATGACAATCAACCTCAATATGTTTAGTTCTCTCGTGAAACACTAAATTGATAGCGATATGGATAGTTGTCTGGTTATCACAGAACATCTGTAAAGGAGGCTGAACAGAAAATCCAATTTCTTAGAGAAAGTGTAGTAACCACGTCAATTCACTCGTTGTATGCGTCATTGCTCTATACTCAGCCTCAGCACTGAATCTTGCTACCACGAATTTTTTCTTACTTTTCTATGAGACAACATTACTTCCTAAGAGTACAATAACCAGTAGTTGATCTCCAATCAGAAGGAGAGTCAGCCCAATCAACATATGAGAGTCCTTCTACTCTAAGATGTCTATTAGCTCGATATAACAATCTAAGGCCAAGAGCACGTTTGAGGTATCGCAAAATACGAGTAACTACATCCTAATGTGGTACTCTAGAAAATTCCATAAACTTACTTACTATATTACCTGCATAGAAATACCCGATCGAGAAATAGTGAGATAATTAAACTTCTCAAACAACCTGCGATACTAACCCGAATTCTCAAACAGTGCACCATTATCCATCAACAATTTCTGATTCGGATTTATAGGAACATCAATTGGTCTGCCACCCAACAAACATGCTTCCTCTAGCATATTAGATACATATTTTCTCTAAAATAAATAAATACCCTGTTTAGATCGAGCCACCTAAATACCAAAGAAATACCTGAATTTTCTCAAATTCTTAGTATGAAACCAGTCTTGCAAGAAGGTTTTTAATTTGACAATCCCCTCAAAATCATTTCTAGTAATAACAATATCATTTATATAAACCACCAATAGTACATATTCGACATCTGTCTGTCTATGAAATACAGAATGGTCTGTCAAACATCGAAAAAGCTCAAACTCTAAAACTACATTTGAAAACTTACCAAACCATACCCTCGATGACTGCTTTAAACCATACAAAGATTTCTTTAACCGACATACACTCTTATCATACTCCCCATGAGCAGTAAACTCAAGTGGCTGTTTCATGCATACCTCTTCAACCAAGTTACCATGTAGGAAGGCATTCTTGACATCTAATAGAAATAGGGACCAATCAAGATTATTAGCCAAAGAAATCAAGAGACTAACAAAAAAAAATTTAGCAACAGGAGAAAAGTCTCCTCATAATCTACACCATAGGTCTGAGTAAAATCCTTTGTAACAAGACAGGTTTTGAGACGCTCTACAGAACTATCTAGCTTAAATTTAACAATGTACACCCAACGACAACAAACAGTTCGTTTACCAATAGGTAAAGGAACAAATTTTCAAGTCCAATTATGATGTAAGATATCCATCTCCTCCTCCATAGCTTTCCTTCAACCCAGATCAGACAACGCATCTTGTAAGTGCTTAGGGATAGAGATAGTAGATAAATGAGAGGTAAAACAGGAGACAAGGCATTATATAAAATAAAATGAGCAATAGGATGATTAGTAACACACGAATGAGTACCTTTTCGAAGAGCAATAGGTAAAAAGTTTAAATTACTTAATGGACCAGGATTAAGAGACGACAAGAAAAATGGTACAGGCACCTCAATCGACGGTCGAGGACGACAAAAGTACACATGAAGTGGTGAAATAAATGGTAGTACAACAAGTAGCGGAATATCTAACGATGACAAAAGAGGTGGTGTTATAGGAGACGATCAAAAATCTAGATCCAAAGGCTAAGCAGGTGTCAGAAAATATGTTAAATGTGACATCAACACTAATAAAATATCGACAGAGGGAAGGACTATAGCAACGATACCCCTTTTGTGTGTGGAATTTTCCAAGAAATGTACATTTGGTAGCCCGCAGGTCAAGTTTATCAAACTCATGACCCGAGTTGTGAACATAACAGATACACCCAAAAACCTTAAGAGTTAAGGAAAATAAAGGCTTACAAGGAAAAATGATAGAATATGAGCTTTGTCCATTCAACACTGTGGATGACATACGATTAGTAAGATGACAAATAGTGAGAACAACATCACTTCAAAAATATCGAGGAATATTCATCTGGAATAACAGTGCACAAGTGACTTTTAACAAATGACAGTCCTTGCGTTCAACAACACCATTCTGCAGAGAGGTGTAAGAATAAGAAGTCTGATAAATAACGTCAATTTTATTAAGATAAGCTAAAAAAATTATCAGATTCATATTCCCGAGCATTATCAGAATGTAAAATACATATACAACAATCATACTGAGTTTTTATTTCCCTACGAAAAATTTCAAATATAGAGAATAATTCAAAACGAGTTTTCATAAGAAACAACTAGGTCACACAAGAATAATCATCTACAAATGACATAAAATAAGGATATTTATTAGATGAAATATTCTTTATTGGAGCTCATACATCAGAATGTACTAACTCAAAAGGACTAGACACACGATTATTGACTCTAAACTGAAAAGACACACGATGATGCTTACTAAGTTAACAAGTTTTACAAGACATAGACGGCACAAAAACTAAGACTGGAAACTTGGTGACTTAAATTCTGGAGAGAGAGATGTGCAAGACGATAATGTTATTGAAAATGAGACAACGAGATCTGTAGAGCCCGAGTAGGTGAATCAAGGTCAAAGTAATATAGGCCACCAGCTTTATGCCTCGTACCAATCGTCCTCTTCGTCTTGAGATCCTGAAATACACAATAAGAGGGATAAAAAGTTACAGAACAATTAAGGGAACGGGTAATTTTGCTAATGAAAAGTAAACAAAAATAAAACTGAAAAACAAATAACACGGAAGATAGGGGCATATTAGGACTCAAGTGAGTAGTCCCTAAACTTAAAATTTTAGAGCAAGTACCATTAGCAAGAGTAGCACTGTGTGTGAAAGTAATAGACTGATAAGTAGAAAAGGCACTAGACGCATCAGTCATGTGATCAGAAACACCAAAGTCTATGATCTAGGGACTATAAGTGGAGTACAATAAGCAAGTGAAAACAATACCTGACTAAGCAAAAGTAACAGTGGAAGAAGATGGAACAGCCTGTTGCTGGGACAGGAACTGGACATACTGCTCTCGTGTAATAGTAACTGATCCAAAATCAGGTGGTGCTAACCAAGGTATAGAAGCAACAACCGATGTGTCATCCTGATAGGAGACCAGATTAGCAGTACTGGAAGGCTTTCCATGTAAATCCCAACAAAAACCAACAGTGTGCCCTCTACGACCATAGTGAATATAGGAACGAGAACCACTACGGCCTCCAGTATGACCTCCACGACCACCGCGATTACCACGTCCACCTCAATAATCATCACTGTGGCTACTAGGGGCCACTAGAGCTGAACGATCAAGGGAAATACTATGATAAATGCCTGAAGGACTAGTTGATAAAGTAACACACTGTAAACGGAAGAAAATCTCAAGTAAAGAGGGAA